TCAGATTGGCGACGGCATGAATCAACAGTCACCCATCAGGGGGGAAGGAATTCGCTCACAACAACGCAACGAAAAGGCATGAAGAATGTCCGTGGGATTGACAACCCTGCTGACTGTGCTCCAAGTGGCACCTCAACAAGTTTAACTCAACTTCAACAAATCTGCTATACGGGTGGACTTCCACCCCAGAAGTGGACCAACAATCACACAACGCAGCCAACTCTCCATCCCCAGATGGCTGAGCCTACCTCCAACGATCACCAACACACAACTACATGGATTTGTAGACGCATCGACGGTTGCCATTGGGGCAGTCGTCTGCTTAGGAATTCAACAAGGCAACGAAACACCAACAATCAACTTGGTGTGTGCGAAAACAAGAGTAGCACCACGGATAACGATGACCATTCCACGCCTAGAGCTCACCGCAGCGTTCCTGCTGACAAAAACCGTTAGCTGGGCTCAACAAACACTGGAACTCAACCGAGATATACCTCTGGTCAGATTCAATAGTCGCCTTGGCATGGATCAACGGTCATCACCCGAGATGGATGGAATTCGTCCACAATCGAGTGACGAATATCCAGGAAGCATCATCAACCGCTGTATGGAGACATGTTGGTGAAATTTACAGCCCCGCTGACCGTGTTTCACGTGGCATCTCATCGAGTCAACTCGAACATCACCTACGGTGGAACGGAGTGACTGCTGAACAGACATTCAACTCTCAAAGGTACTTAAATTCACAGCGACGCTGAGTCGAGCAATGGACCGACAGACCACAACCCCCACCAGATTCACCAACACTATCAATGGAGAAGTTCAACGAAACGAGGTTATTCTGGATCAAGGTGACACAACTTTAATACCTTGATTCTATTTTCCAGAACATCAAAAGAGATATTCAACTGCCTCGAAATCATCCACTGGCCAAGCTGATTCCAAGATTGGACAATGACGAAATTCTCAGGCTTGGTGGACCCCTGAAGAATTCAATTCTAGATGACAACGTCATTCATCCAAAGATCCTACATCGACAGTCTCGACTTGCAACCTGGACTGGCGGTGACAGAAGCAAATCAACATCGACAGGAAATCACACGTGGGAATCTGGTGACCCAGAAAATACAACACTTCTGGTCCAGGTGGTCCCGCGAATCCCTCAACCTGCTACCAACGAATCCATCACCAGCAGATCGACCACAAGACATCAACATAGCTACCAACGCGGATTCATCACGCCTGATGAATGCGGGCGGGATGTTTAAACTTCAGCTTCCATTATCACGCGAATATCAACGAATTACCCTCGATAAGTGTCGGATGTTCCGGGTTGTCGAGTTAGGGGGGCAACGGTCAACACAATGCTCTTGAAACCGCCAAAAGTCAGTTACGTTGCGACTATCAACTGAATAAGTTTGTTTTCTCACCGTACATCAACGTTTAACTCACTCAACGATTAAACCAACGTATTGAAATTCAACGTGTAAAACTCAACCGACGCTCATTATTGCAATCATCAACGTATAATTTGTTAATTATCGATCGCATCTTAATTATTAAATCCAACGAAACTAGCGGATTAATCTATAATTGTCGCTTTATAGTACATCAACGCGACACACACCGCCCACTCGTCCACTCAACGATCTACTGATTAATTCAACGACTTTAATTATGGTTTAACTCGTTTAACCCCGTTAATCAACATTGAATTACTCAGCCAATACCTGTACATAATTGTATATTTTTCGACAAGTGACTATTAAACGCGAGGTGTTTTATAATTCCGCTTTCAACTACATTCAACTTTATTCACAACCCATACTTTCATTTTCCGACGCACGACCACCCAAAATCCACGTCCTTCTTCAAACAACATCTGATGGAAAAATGCCGTACAGCCCATCGTTTTTTTTATAACATTTAAAAAGGATGAAACTGTTTGTTGCTGATATTAAATAAACAATTGGGCGTAGGTCATTTTTCCATCAGATTATTTTGTTGCAAATTCAATTTGCAACAAATAATAATCAATGGAAAAATCCCAAAAACCCAATTGTTTAAAAGATAACTGCAAGAACATTGCCGCGGAGTAATGCGAGAGAGTGAGAGAGAATACCATGCCTTCTCACTCACGCTCACGGGTGAATCTGGAACTTGATCCCGCCTCCTGCTGGCTCGAAGGGGAATCACCCGCACTCGAGCGCGACAGCCAGACCGACGTACTGCGGCTTAACGCGGCAGCGTCATTGCCTGTCCTGTTTACCCCAGTATCTCCGGAGAGGTGCTTCCGATCCAGTGGTAAAGGACTTTTTGGGTCCGACTCACCCCCTGTACATGCCGGTTAAGTATAGGCACGTACTTCTAAGACACCCTGTATATTACTTTTGGAGAGAAGAACATGAAGATCTAAAAATATGAGAACAATCTGAAAGATCATCTCTATTTTGTGATTGTGAAACCATCGACAAAAGTGAATGTATGTGCCTAAAATCTGACTCAGGTCCTCCTCGCTGTGGAGACACGTGACTAGTTTTGAGGCAAACCAACCTGAAAAGTTATAAGACTTTTCAAAATGTTGATAATCAAATGCAATGGTTTCAATGCTATTATTGTTTATTGCAGAATAATGTATTCCGACAAATTATAGGAAGCTGTAAAATTAGGGAGAAAGCGTCATCGATAGATAATTGATAGGTGATTCCTCTTGTTCCAGTATATTACTTTGAAAACACTGATGCTTCGTAAAAGGAAGTGAAATTTTGCAAAAAATCATAAAAAATTTGTGAAAAAACTTTTCCAAGTAGATGTTTTTGCTCCCGAAACGGGAGCATTGTAATCGTGTAGAAATAAGTTTTTGTTTTTTTGTGTTGGATTAATCCATTATGGTCCAAAACGTTCGAAAATGTAATTTTTAGACCCTGTCCGTACGTATGTATGTATGTGTGTATGTATGTGACAAACGTTTTTTTCAATTTGTTAAAATTTTTTTGAATTGCGCGCGACTTGATGCATGCAATCTAGTAACTTTTTTTAAAAATGCAGTCACTATCGAGCTCTATCTACCGACATTAATTCGAATTCGTTTCGATTGGTATAATTATTTTCTTCAATTTTTCAAGTTTTTTTTTGAAATTTCGCATTTTGACGGTGATTGAAAAAAAATTGGTGTGAATCAAATCCTGGATGGCTTGAAAAATTCACTCTAGTTTCTTTTGAACCGAGTTCGAAGATGAAAGTGATAGCGACAATAGCTGTTTATTCATTTATTTTTTTTTTAATATTGAAATCTCTTTCGTAAGTCGGAATTTTATGCTCAAAAAGATTTCATGTAAAGTTTTTAACATCACTTTCGATACCAGCCATACCAACAGTACCTTCATGATTACTACCTAGTCATGTGACATCTATTGCCGTCATTACAAATTCAAAATTTTATGTCATTTTTCTGGAAAGTGAGTTTTGTGATGGTTTCTTCGCACTCGTTATGTTTGATTCATTTCATTGGGTATGCATAATTCTTCTACAACAATATCTCAACCAACTTTGAAAGTAATGTGAACAATATTATACAGCCATTCAGTTGTAGAAATCAGTTCTAAAACACTTAGAAGGGAATTAATTATCATTACCAATATAAATGGTAATGATAACAAAGTAAATCTCTCTACCTAGAATAGAATAAATATTGCAAGCGGTCATACTTTAGGTGGCACAGCAGCTGGCCTTATCGTCAACATGAAGGAAAAACAAAAATTATGGGAAAAAGCCTTTCGGCATAAAAAACCCAAATTTATTTGAATTGATACACTAATCAAAAAGAATCACGATAAATGGCGTATCCAAAATACACAAAATGTTGTTATTACCCTGAATGATAAGTACAAGCACACATGAATAATACTTTCGATTTGCCGTCTCGGAGGTTGAAATTTCTGGTACGAATCATGGATATATTTTTTTCAATGAATTCGTAGTTTCTTGATTCGAGTCTTGCAGATAATAATTGTATGGAAATGAGAGCTTGACTGTTGATTCAAAAGCAACGGGAATTATCGTTATCCGTCAACATGAAAACCTGACTTTATCCGCCATAGTTGTTACCATGTGACAAAAATCCACCATTTCGCAATTGAATTGATAACGTAAAATTACGTGATGGCTACAATTTGTCGATATCTTCCTTTCGATGAACATTCGCAACAATCAGTTGAAAAGGAAAAGAAAAACTTATGTTGAATTCCTAAAACAATACTTAGATGTTGCATATTTTATTGAAGATTAAAAAAGACGCGGAAATGACTATTGTTCCGAATGGGTGTAGAATTCCCAATCTCGATAAAAAAGGAGAAAAAAAGCGAAAAATCAGTACATTGTTATATCAATTATATATTGCGAATAACGGTTCGGGAGCCAGTTGCTAATTCATTAGAAAAAAAAACTATATGATATCGAATACAACAGCATATCCTACTTGTTCTCACGTTCAACCCTTCGGAGAAGTATCTCAAATAAAAAAAAATGAAATGAAAATTACGCCAAGCACGTAGTTTACTAACCTGACTCACTAACGAGAGTTGATACTAGAAGCGAACAAATCCAATTACAGACATGAATAGAAAAGCCCCTATTGATAATTGTTTAATGAGAGTAATTTTCGATATATCCGGGTACGCCAAGTAGATTGTTTCTAATTGAAAATCGAGTTCTTAATAGCGGCTTTTCTATTCATGTGAGTAATTTAATTTATTTACTTATAGTATCAAATCTCGTTAATAACTAGGGTTAGTTAACTATGTGCTTTGCGAATTTTTTCATTCCATTTTTTTTTATTTGAGGTATTTTTATGAAGGTCTGAAGAAGGGAAAAAACTCCACTTAGCAACATTTTTCCACAATTTTTTTGGGATTTTTTTTTAACTTTCAAAGCTCCATACAATTTACAATATTAACTGAGGAAACATTTATATTTTTTATTTTCCACCTTCCAGATTGTGAAACACGCGAAAAAGCATTGGCCGTTATCTGGTCTCATGAAGCAAAAAGTATCGAAATGTTGATGATTTTTTTGAAGGTAATTATCCTTTATAAAGTATATATTTATGAAAACTAGCAATGCAATTTGTTCAAACTTTTTTATGTTACAATGCATATGTTTCAGACCTCGATAGATTATGCGGCTTACAGTAGTATCATTGGAATTCTTCATGAATGTGTGTCTCCTCGATTACTGAAATCTAAAGCTGAAGATGGTAAAAGGAATACATTAAAGGCATTGAGCAGAGCCACTATTAGTCGACTAATTAACAGTCGAGGAACTGAAGTATTGATCAAAAGTCTGGTGGATTTCAATCCATCTGAAAAGTTGTCGAAGACTCTGCTAAAAGACGTGCTGTGCATTTTGGGGCAAATTGCTAAAAACGATCAGAAATTTGTTATTGAGGTTACATCGCTCAATGCTGTTACAATGTTCCATGCATTGCTCAGGATCCACTATAAAAACCCTCGGATGATGCTGCCGTTTGTTTTTATCTTCAGAAGTTTTTCGAAAAACAGTAATTATATGCATTAATTTTACTGCATTCAATATGTAATTTCGTTTTTCTTAATTACGCTGGTTTCCGTTCTGGCTGTATTGGGTTTTGTCTATTTTCATGTATCACGCGCATCATTTTTTGAGGGAATAAACAGTGCCCAAGTTGCGATCCCACTAACTGTGGAGGAAAAAAATCTATAAAATACATAAGTTGTCCCAGATCAGCCGGAGGTTACGCCTAACGCAGAAAAATTAAAGAGTTTCACAATTGGGTGGAGCTTTCAGGAAGAATTAGAGGATTTTATGAGAATGTAGGGTAGGAAAATCATAAAGGTCGGAAAGTTAATTACCCGGGAAATGACGTCGGACTATTAATCGGGCCGCGAAGCAGGAAGTAGTATGGGAGCGCATCCCAGCCCCGACAGGTTTTGGGAGAACGGCTGTGTCCTCGACGGTGAAATTAAAATTTGGGGGCAAAAAATTATGTCCCCCACCCCACTGTATATATTTTAAATATCCTACCCGCACACCGATCGGAATATCGCCGCTCTGATGTGTGGCGGGGTATACCGTGTATCACCAGAGCATACCCCTAATATCGAGCGGTTTCGGGAGAGTGGCTGATCCCCTGGCTACGTGAGTAGTGTAAGAGCCACTAGGTCGCCTTCCAGCCAGGGTCGCTATGGCCCCACCACCAAACCTGCCGGAGTAGCACCGCTAAGACGTGTGTAAGCGGTGGGGCCATAGCATCGTACGGGCGCGCCCCCCAACCCCAAGCCGTTTTGGGAGAACCGCTGGTCCCTCGGCCGCAAAATTTAAATTTGGTGGTAAAAAATTTAGGACCCCTCCTATGGTCGATGTAGACCCTACCACCGACGCGGCACACATTGTCCCCTATACCCCGATAAATACAATAATTTTACATTACCTTATTCTCCGTTCACCGTCACCAAATCCAAAAAAAGTCACTGAAGTCACTCAATATATACAAAACTTAACATATACAGGCGTGTTTTCGCGCTAGTCTTGCGAACTTCACTATATAACCATCACTCCATATTTAACTACTCTCCTTGATCCTCATCGGACTCGGCGAATAAGGACACCTGAGCCAGTTCTTCATTCTCGGCGTCCCCAGCCAGCTCATATCCAGTTCGCCCCCATATCCAGCCAGCTCATCAGGCAATCCCGAGTGTATTCCTCTGGAGGAATACTCATTGGGAACTGTCCATCTGTCTCCCACCAACCCAGGTGATAAGGTCCACTCCTACCCCGCTGAGGTGTATCGCTCTCCAGGTGGTCTGTCGGGAACACTAAATTGTGCTCCTCGCGGAGATGCCACCGTCGGTCGGGGAGCTGGGGATCCAAGTCGTCGTAACCCGGTCATCGGCGATGAGAATAGTGAATCCGATGGGCGCCCAGGTGGTGTCCTCTGGTGGAGGGTGTTCGCTCGTCCTCGACGGGGCTACTCAGCGGGAATAGAAAATTTTTACCGATAACGTTTTCACGCCAAATACAATAAACACCACTTATGACACGAAAAAAGTTGAGCAGACTTCTTCTCGCGACCGTGGTTCGTTGATGACTGAAAAAAATGGACGCCCGACTTACGACCGATCACTGAGTTGACTACTCACTCTCAAACAATGCGCTGATCCTGCAGTTTTGCACGTGCAATCTGACGTGCTCTCCACAGTAACCCATCCTAGGTATCGAAGGTCAGACTACCCGGCTTCAGGATTGCTTACATTGCGAGCCATGATATCCACAGAGACGCGTTGATACCACATACCTTCATTCGAAGAATCAGCCGATTTAATTTGAAATAATTTCATTTTTAAATAAGTACATAATCAACAATTAAATAAATAAATGTAAAATTGTTATTGTCATGACTGGCACATCTTAAATTTCCGGACAAAATTATTATAGTATAAAAACGAATTTTGCAAGAAATAAAAAATGAATTCTTTCGCCACGGGAAACAACTTGGGCATTTTTCGCGGCCTGCCGCGTTTCGTTTTCGGAGCGTTTTCATATGTCATAGGCAGCATCTTCTCCAAAGATGGTGGTTGAAGGGTGTGCTCCCTCTGCAGTTCTTCTTCCAGAGACCGTATACATCACAGGCACCTTTCCCTTGGGGTGCACCGCTTCAATTTCGGCAATTTGAAACTAACTATGTGGAGTCGCGATACTGACGGAACGTCAATGGGCCTCGTATCTCTAATCAAACATAAATATGAATCACTATGACGGATTTCTAACATATATCGACAATCACAAGCGGATACTTACCGTTTTCTGGCTTGTCCGCATGAGGCACCGTCTCATCAATCCCCTCACGTACAACCTCAACATCATAATACTCAATCTCATAAGTTTCCCGAGTATGCAAACAAGGCTCGTCACTAGTTGTTGTATCAGTCACTCTTTCTAAAAGGTTATCACAGACTGCCTGAATCATGAATGTGAAGCTAGGGGGATATCGAAAATTTTTCCCGATTAGACGCATCTTTTTTCTATGACGATCACTCTATATTGTCTCTAATATCGCGTTTAATTCCCGGACCAAAGCCTTTAAAGCAGCCCTTCGCACTGAATACCCTTCCGTCACAGTCAATATATGTTCACGACCGTTATTAACAGCCCTTTCAAACTCAGAGACTATGACTTCAACAGACGCTACCTCGTTATCAATCCGAAAATCCAACTTTTTCGTCGTTGAATCAGCCTCGCACTGCTCAATTTGACACCTTCTTTTCCTTCGCAGCCTCAAAGATCTCCGGGTTCTTCCCAAATCCATGAAAAAATCTAACACTGATCGAGCAGTACGCCGCCGAACCAGATGAGTATCTAAATGATTGACATACGCAAAGGCCCCTCCTAACATCACGAGTTCTTCAATTCTGAGGTGTAAGCAAAATGCGGCCTATCTATCTTCTATATTTCCTTCCACGTTGACTGAAAAGTGATATACCTATGCATCACCATTCGCAACAAATGCAATGAAGACACTGAGAGGATGGATGAGGGTTTAAATAATGAAATGCTGAAGGCAAAAACATTGTTCTCCATATATACATTCGTTTATTACCCAATCAATTTAAACGATAATGTATACAAAATTAAACGTCTTTGTACATGAATTCACACGGATGATAAGGGCCCTCCAGAAAACGTATAGATAAACGGTCCTCTACAAGCAATCTCGTATGATAGATGTATTCTGCGTGATCGTCCAAAAGATGCAGTTTGATCATATCATTTGATCATATCTTTTCACATCAGAGTGTAATATTACCCGTGTTTCACCGATTGTGTGATTTTTCGACGATTTTGAAAATGCTGACCACGTATCACTTGTTCCCAAGCCACAATTTCATGTTTTGTACTGGTTTGCAGGTATGCGTGAAAAAATAGAGAAATGTGTGAAGAGGTGTATTAATTGTATTTTAAGTGAGCGAAAGCAAGGGAAGCAGGAAGACTTTCTTCATCCAATTGACAAGGGTGATACCCCTCTCGACAGTTTCCATATTGATCACATCGGTCCAATGACATCAACGGAGAAGAGATACAAACACATTTTTGTTGTAGTAGAAGCATTTTCAAAATTTGTGTGGCTGTACCCAACTAGATCGACAGATGCCGCCGAAGTAATCGATCGTTTGACGAGACAATCTGTTGTGTTCCGTAATCCAAGACGGATCATTTCTGATCGCGGAACGGCCTTCACGTCGAACGCTTTTGAAGAATACTGTCGCGAGAATAATATCCAGCATACATTAATTTGTACAGGCCTCCCCAGAGGGAATGGTCAAGTTGAGCGAGTGAATCGCACTCTCATCCCGATGTTAACAAAATTGTCTGCACCAAGACCAGAACAGTGGTACAGACATGTTGACACGGCACAGATGTATTTAAACGCCACACCGAGTAGAAGCACGGGCAAAACTCCCTTCAATTTGCTTTTCGGCACTAAAATGCGTTTGAAAGAAAGTGTGGAAATTCGCGAAATGATTGAAGATGAGTGGATTCGTATGTTTGAAGAAGATCGTGATGCAATTAAAGCAGAAGCTACGGAAAAAATACGTACAGTTCAAGCCGAGAACTAGAAGAGTTACAATAAGAAACGTAAGCAAGCAGAACTGTATCGTTTGGATGATTTGGTTGCCATTAAACGCACACAGTTAGGACCAGGGTTGAAATTGTCTCCTAAGTTTTTGGACCATTATCGAGTGATTAAGAAATTACGTAATGACCGCTACGTAGTGATGAAAATTGGCGACCATGAGGGTCCAAAAGAGGCGTCGACTTCAGCTGATCACATGAAGCTGTGGTGAGACGAAGATGATGATGATTATTCCGACAAGGAGTAGATGTGACATCTGAGGGCAGATGTTCCTGTCAGGAAAGGCCGAATGTAGTATCGAATATTTCTAATTAAACGTCTAAGCCGGGGAAAAACGTCGAGTCGCGACGACTAGGCGTTGGGGAACTCCCCAGCGGTTTTATATTGTAGTTTTGGGGAATAGTTGAGGCAGTCGGGCCAAATAATTATTACTCGAGTTTATGGGAGGATTTTATTAGGGTATTTCATTAAGGGTTAAGAAGGGACGTAAGTTTAAGTCTAGGAATATGAATAGGAATCTTGGGAATTTACCCAAGATGAAACGGGCAACTGAGGCCCAAGGGTGGCTGGTGGTAGGGGTAGTAACCGAGAGGAGAAAAATGGGAGATGGAAGGAAAAAAGGGCAGAGTGTTTGAGAGGTCGAGAGGAGGTAGAGCATTTTTGGTGATGAAATCCTGAGTGAGGCATTAGACGAAGAGACGTTTTCGAATTTGCTTAAATCGATATGTATATTTTAAGTGAGTCTTTTTATACCAATAACATTGTTAATATCTGCTAGTGATTAAAGTGTTTGTTTAGAGAACCTTTTAGCTGTTTTATCTTTTAAAAAAGTATCCCCACAATAATAATATTGATAGATTAAGTCAGGGCTGGGCAAACTCTGCTCTGAGAGCAAGTCGTGCTCCCGACCTTTATTAGTGCGTAACAAAGGGTGGACGGAAGCCCATTGTATCGGTTGATGG